ATTTTAGTAAAAATTTTTAAAATCTTATAAAATAAAAATATTTACTTTTTCAACTATAAGTCCATTTTTAATTGCTTGCTGCAGGTTCCTATAATGTATAATATATTTCTCCTTTTTCTCAAACGTGACCATCAATTTCCGTAGCTTTGAACCACGCGGTATACTATTTTGTGGGAGGAAAGGCAGATCGTTATGTCCGTTATGCAAGTGCCGTGGGTATGTTACGTCCACCTCGTAAATACGTCCTATGTGTGATGTATTATCTAAATCGTTCAATCCATTCAATGTAGGTTCAACCCAGTTGAACCCACCGTACGGCATATACTGGGACATGGCCCATCCATACAAGTTGTTACCTATAAAATTTAAAAAAGAATAATATGTTTTGAACAAATAACTATATACTTACAGTCCTGATATATTATCCACGAGTCTGGTTTACTTGCATCATAGCCCGGGGTCTTTACATTATTAGCCTTTGCATACCGCTTACTCGCCTGCACCAGTCCACCACGAATACCTATTAAATAAAATAAATTAATAAAAATAAGATTATTATTACATACATATAATTTAAATATAATATAGATATATACTAACCTTTCTCAAACAGCAACAACATATCGTAATCGTGCAGCAATTGTAGCTTTTGCCCCGTAAATTTCAGCATCGCATCAAAACTTAAACCGGGGGCGGTAAAATAATGGGCGGCATCTAGGTTGTACGTTTTCATGCACAGGTCGCGGAAATTCTCAAAAACATCTGCCAGCAGCATCACGTCGATTTTGAGGTACAAATCACTGTATTCACCCAACGTCTTGCATCTAAAGTGCTCCCAGACCTCCTTTGCATGATCAAAATCGCTCTCATTAACCCCGGTATCCGTCAATGTACTGTAAAAGTCCCTTTTCCTCGGTAATCGTGTCTCGTTCAACCTGCTCCAGCTATCAGTATACTCGTACGGGTATATACCTTTCCGAGTTACGAGCGGCATATCGACTTCAGAAAAAACTTTGGCGGTCTCTCTAAAGTTCTCCAGACCCGGTGTCACAAGATTTTTGGCTAGAGTCGACAGTCCTGACGCCATAAACCGAAAAGTGTCAATAAATCGCATGCTGAATGTATTTGACACGTACTTAGTGAATGAAATAAATTTCTCCTCACTGTTAGGTATTACTTTAATAGCTTGGGTGTTATGACCAAGTTCCAACACTATCAAGTGAGCGTCGTAGTTGGAAAGGTTATGAAAAAATATAGGTATGAAGTTCGGTGTTTTGAGCTTGAGATTGCAGTTGTTACACAGAGTTTGTCGATATTTCCCCGATAAATGACAATGATCTACAACCTTATGGTTGTCGTGTGAAAAGTTTGACTTACATAAATTACATAATTGAGATGATTCGTGGGTTCTAATCTGTTCATCCGTGAAAATTATGGGTGTATTCGTTTTAAGTAGTTTTTCTATCTTTAATGATATTTCAGTCACAGTTTCAACAAAATGTCTTGCGACGTCCGTCTTATTCTCGCTTCCCCTGTATAATATTGGTTTCGTAGGTATCTCATGTTCCTTCATTAATTCTATCGGTACGTTTTCGCTTGCCTTTACCATAAATCCATAACTTAATGCCTCGTGTCTATGTATTACTTTCGTGTTTTCCCCTTTGTCCTCGTCCGTCTTCATCAACATCGTCTCAAAATCCGCGTATATCGCAAAGGGGTGCCTTTGAGTGTTTTTCCACCCTTTGAACTCGACACAATCCCCCTCTTTTGGCATCTCGGGTAGTATCGGCTTGTGCGCGCCGCAAATCAAATTATGCTGTTCCAACGCCGCCTGTCCGCTCAGCTTGTATTTTAAATTATGATTATCGAATGACGTAAAACACCTTTTACAAAATACAACGCGTTCATCATGCTTAGTTTTTTGTGCGCGCACAATTCGTGAAAAATTCGAAATGTAAACGTAATGCGAGTTTTTGTCGTCCTTTACCAACAACAGGTCGAAGTGGTCCGGTTTCTCTTCGTCAACGACTCGTAGCGGGTATACCTCATACCTCGGGGACTTTGGTGGCTGTATTTTTCTATCTATACCATAGACGTTAACGGAGACGCTGGAATTGTTTTTTTCGAATTTAGTTATATCCGATAGCGGTGTCGGGAAGGTGAGGCCGTCAAAATTATATTTTCCTTCATGTTTTTTGTAATTTTCACCCACACAGTATTTATATTTATCAGATAAATTATATGCCACATGCCTCGCTAGAATCGCCCACTTAAAACATTTCTGGTCTGTGTTTTGTGGATTTATTGTCCCCCGTTTCCTGTCGATATACGTTGGCAACTCAATATACGACGATCCACTCATCGGTGTATATTTATATACCGCCAACAACAATCCGTCTATGCTCTCCAATGTAAATCCGCTTCCACGTGATTGGTACTCATCTTTCTCTATCATTAACTTCATATACGCCCTCTCTACAATCGTTCTAATGTCACTATCCGAATAAAGTTCTACCGCCGAAGTTTTGAATGCCCGGTTCTCCGACGAGTTTGGTACGTTGGGCCGGTTGTATGTTGCCTCGAGTTTCAAATTGAATTTAATCGCATGTTTTTTTACGTGGGTTTTCAATAAATTGACTAACTCAGGCATAAGCGGGCGGAGAAAGTCAGAATAAATCATTGTATTATCGACATTTTTCGCATAATACCACACGATCATCCTATTTGCGGACGATGAAATCTCGATGAACCCAGGGGCCTTGACGAGATTCAACCTAGTCTTTTTCGCCCTAGCAGCCGACACGGTGTTGGCCGTGGAAACACGCTTTCCGTTAACGGCTACGGTGTAAGAATCTATAAAAATAAAACCTAATATTAATATCTGATAAAATCTAATGACGAATCTATTAAAATTTAATTAACCTCGTGACTAATAAAATTTATTTAACTAGTATCGATCAATAACTAATTTAACGACACGTATTTTATAATTTTTTTTACTACCTTACGATCAATAAATAAATTCTGTAGGTCTATCTTTTATAAATTAACGATATACGTCGTTTAAAATATAATTCACGGTGGATAAAATCAACGGGTCTTTTAAAAATCTACTTAATTCTGATAAATAAAATAATAAAACTAACCTGTATCATTATCTTCGTTTATGACGCATAATAAGTCGTCCTCAGATATCGCATTCGAACCACCCGCGGTCGGGACATCGGGGACGAATATTTGTGGTGTCGTGATCGATGCAGTTGGTTGAACCATCTGTGCAGCGGGTATAGGTCTGAGGTGAGTAGGAACGTTAACGATACCTCATGAAAAATAAAATATATAAATTAATAATGAATAAATAAAAAAATAAGATTGTATACAATTTAAACTATATATTTTTAATACATACCATGGGCGTTCTTCTGATGTCTATTAAGAGACGAATTACTAGAGAATGTCGATGGGCAAACGGTGCACGGAAAACGTACACCTGCATGCTTCTTTTGGTGAGCGACCAAATTACGTTTCCCGTTGAAAACCGACGGACACTGTACGCATTTAAACATGTTTAAAATGAAAACGAGCGAAAAGAAAAATATATAGTGTTTAAAAATTAACACGGAGAAAAATTGTAATTATTTGCGATGACACTGTGAAAACACGAAAGAGTAATAGGGGGGAGGTGGACGCAAGATGTTGGTATCTGGAACAAGACTGACTCTGTCTTGGCGGACAACGGATCGAGTGTCCAGAAATCATAACATTTTTAGTGAGGGTAGCATTTCAAGCCGTGGGTTACCAAAATATTAATTGGGTATTTACTATGATAAATGTGTACATCATACGATATTTCAGACTATTTTAGGAACCATTGTTTATCGGTACATTCCAGGAATCGGTCTATGACATTTTAAAAATACCTACACCGTAGTAACAATAGTGGTATACAGCATATATTTTTGATATTTAACAATATACGTTTATTTCGTGAATTTCGATAAAATCGTAATAATCTACACTGTAGTTACGATTTACGTTTATACGCATATTTCGTGAATTTCGACATTTTTAAAAATACCTACACGTAGTAACAATAGTGGTATACAGTATATTTTTGATATTTAAACTATACATTTATTTCATGAATTTCGATAAATCGTAATACATCTACACTGTAGTTACGATTTACGTTTATACGCATATTTCGTGAATTTCGACATTTTTAAAAATACCTACCCGTAGTAACAATAGTGGTATACAGCTATATTTTTGATATTTAACGATTTACCGTTATTTCGTGAATTTTAACAAAATCGTAATAATCTACACTGTAGTT